TAATAATAAATAAATAAATAAAATTTTAAAAAATAAAAATAATAAAAATGGGCAAATAATATGAACAGACATGAATCCCACTACTGAGTGTATATGCAAGGGAAAAACATTCATTCTATGAAAAAGACACATCCCCTTATATGTTCATCACAGTGCTGTTCACAATAGCAAATACATGGAATCAACCAAGATGTCCATCAGTGGTGGACTGGATAAAGAATATGTGGTACATATACACTGTGAAATACTACACAGCCATAAAAAAGAATAAAACCATGTCCTTTGCTGCAACATGGATCAAGCTCAAAATTCAAAAACTGAGTGAATTAATGCAGGAATAGAAAACCAAAAACTACATGTTCTCATTTATAAGTGAGAGCTAAACATTGAATACATGTGGACATAAATATGGAAATAACAGACACTGGAGACTGTTTGAAGAGGAAGGGTGGTAGGGAGCTATGGTTTGGAAGGCTACCTATCAGGTACTATGGTCACTACCTTGGTGACAGGATCGTTTATACACCAATGCTCAGCAACACAATTTTCTCATGTAACAAAACTGCACATTTACCCTTGAACCAAAATAAAAGTAGGAGGAAGAAAATGGTTGAAACTAGTATTAGTATAGGATTAGGGAGAAAAAATAAAATAGAAGGGTAGTCTAGAGAAGACAGTTTGTTAATTTATTTCATTCACCAAATATTTATTGGTGGCCAAATGTGTGCCAGACATTGTTCTAGGCACGGAGTAGAGAACAAAAAAGAAAGTATCAGGGCCGGGCGTGGTGGCTCATGCCTGTAATCCCAGCACTTTGGGAGGCTAAGGAGGGCCAATCATGAGGTCAGGAGATCAAGACCATCCTGGCTAAAATGGTGAAACCTCGTCTCTACTAAAAATAAAAAAAAAAATTAGCGGGGCATGGTGGCGGGAGCCCCTAGTCCCAGCACATGAACCCGGGAGGCAGAGCTTGCAGTGAACCAAGATCGCGCCACTGCACTCCAGCCTGGGTGATGGAGCCAGACTCCATGTCAAAACAAAAACAAAAACAAACAAACCAAAAAAACTCCCTGTTTTTATAGAGCTTATATTTTAGTGAGTAGTGTTTGAGATAGCCAATAAGCAAGATAATAAGATAAATCTATAAAATACGTTAGGTGTTGGTAAGGTGAAAATAATGTCACAAACGAAGATAGGGAGTATTGGTGGGGGGAGGTAGAGATGCAATTTAGACAGGATATCCAGAGAAGGTCTCACAGAGAGGATGATGCCTGAGTAAAGTCATAAATTGGGAAGGAAATATGCTCTGCGACTTGTGAAGCAAGCTCACTATGCACTGGTTACCAACTTGTGTGACAGAACATACTCATATGCAAGTTATGTGAAATGGGTTTATTACTTACAGATAGGCAGCAAAAAACATCAGAAGCCTAGGACTCATTGTGAGCTGCTCCCCCAAGGCTCAGAAAGCTTCCTAGGGTGGATGGAGTCTCAACTGCATGTAACCCACTTGCATAGCAGACAAGGGACCCTGGAAAGCAGCCTGCACTGGGTGTTATATCCTGGGGTCACATGACTTCCTGTGCTAAATCTTTGAAGGACATTCTGTTCTGGTGAGACTGAAACAGAGCCTAGGCTCTTCTAGCCAGTCTCTCTCTATCTCAGTAAATTACATTATCAGACCATCATACAGTTACTGTTGAGAACTACAAGCAAGAAAAGGAGGAAACCCTGGTCAGTCCAAGGCCATTTGGAGAACTGTCCTGCACAAATCTTGTGGGTAGAGTATTCCAGGTAGAAGACTCAGCAATTACAAGGGCTCAGAGGCAGGGGCATGCCTAGCGTATTTGAAGATGTGGGAGAAGGTCAGTGTGTCTAGGGTGGAATAATTTATGGGAAGAATATTAAGAGATTGAGTCAAAGGAAAAGGGGGTGAAATACCACGAGGCAGGCTTCTGTATGTCTTTGAAGGCCATTGCAAGGACTTTGGCTTTTACTTTTAGTAATAAGAAAAAAGTCACTGGGAAGTTTGATCAGAGGATTGTTATGATCTGACTTCTATTTAAGGGAATTATTATGGCTATTGCGCTAAAAACAAGCTGGAGTGCAAGGAAGATGGGCAAAAGGAGAAAGTAGGAAATCAGTTAGAAGACTATTGCTATAATCTCAACAGGAGAGGATACATACTGAGTCTGGTAGAAGTAGATTAGTGCTAAGTAGTCTAATTCCAGATAAATTTTGAAGATAAATAAGAGTTGTGAATGTATGAAGGAAAAAGAGGAGTCAAAAGTGATTCAAAAGTGTTTGACTTGGCAACTAGAATCATGGAATTTCCAGCAGTGTGAAGTAAAATGTGGAAATATGAATCCAGTCTGTGTGGGGAAGGAAATTGTAAGATTTGCCTAGAGTGTAGCCTGGGACCATTGTCTAGTCCTGAGATAGAAGCAGGACTTCCCATCTTATATTATGTCAGAATGAACTATGCCAGTTTCTCTAGGGAGACTCTCTACTGGGGAAATTTAAGGTGTCAGTATTTGGGCCAGCAATCAAGATGGAGATAATAGGCCTCTACAATTTGGGAAGCCATAAAGCACCATACTATCTTTGGAGAATTGTTGTTGTTGTTGTTGTTGTTTGTTGTTGTTGGGGGGAAAAAAAAAAAAACCTTTCTTAAAGGAAACATTTCTTCCAAAATGATAAGCTCTGGCTTTACCTCAGCATTTTCTTTCACCTTTTTTTTTTTTTACCACACTTTTCCTATATGTCTTAACCCTATTTATTCTACAATCACCAGACCTGGATATAGATTTCACTTCCTAGACACCTTTGCCATAATCGTGGCCTCTACCACAGCCAAGAAAATTTTCTTCTGTCATTGGGATCACTGCATTCCCTCTTAATGAGTTTCTCTGACAGCCCTACTCCTACAGCCCTTTAAACCTTTCTCCACAATGTAGTCAGAATGGTCTTCCTAAAACAGAAATCTGATCATGTCCCTCCCTAGCTTCAACACTTCAGTGAATCCCAATGCTCTTATGATAAAGTGCAGCAATCTTTTTTTTTTTTTTTTTTTTTTTTTTTAGACTGACTGACTTTCCCTCTTGTTGCCCAGGCTGGAGTGCAATAGTGCCATCTCGGCTCACTGAAACCTGCACCTCCCAGGTTCAAGCAATTCTCCTGTCTCAGCCTCCTGAGTACCTGGGATTAAAGGCACCCGGCACCACACAAAGCTAATTTTGTGTTTTTAGTAGAGACGGGGTTTCACCATGTTGGCCAGGCTGTTCTTGAACTCCTGACCTAAAGTGATCCACTCGCCTCGGCCTCCCAAAGTATTGGGATTACAGGCATGAGCCACTGTGCCTAGCCAAAATGCAGCAATCTTAACATGGCTTAATCATCTCTGCCTTCCTCTACCATTTCAGCTCTCTCCTTTCTCCTACCTCCTACTCTCTGTGCTGGTCCTTGATTTCCTTAAGGTCTCCCAAACATAGCATGCTGTATCTTATCTGTTATTCTTTAAAAATGCTTGGACCACTCTTTCTCCCCCTTCATCTGATTGATACTTAGCCTAAAGCTCAGCTTCAGAGAGCTTCCAGGTCTGATTGACTATTCAGTCCTGTCTCAGCCCTTATCAAAACACATTGTAATTGCCTGCTTAGATAGATGCTCATCTGCCCTCTAGACTTTAAGTAAATGAGAGCAAGAATCACGTCTGTCTTGTTCAGCATGATGTCCCTCACTCGGAGCAAGTTCTAAGCAGTTAGAAATAACAGGCACTAAGTCCATATTTGTCAAATCAATCATCAATAACAAACTTTAGTTCCTGTAGTTCCTTAATTCCCAAGAACCTTCTATTGGAACGGATATATCTCACTCCTTTGGGCCTCTATAGATTTTACCTCCACATGTTTTACAGATTTATTATCTTCTACCTTTCACTGTATTTGCATAATTTATCTCTGTTATTGGACAAGTTTCTTATGTACAAGCTCCATGTTCAAATCTTCTTTTTTTCCCTAGATGATAAATTACACAGCTTTGTGCATATTCTGACTCTAATAAATGTTTACTGAATTAATTAATGAATTAAAGGAGTTTAAATGTTATATTTTATAACTTTCAAATAGGCCAGTTTATAGAGAGCATATGCTTTGAGATTAGAAGTACTGGGTGATAAATCTAAATAGGTAAATTTATATCGATGGTGGAATATCGCCAGGTAAGAGAACATAATAGTTTAGAAACTGGAGGTTTGTTGAGGATTTCTGAACCAAAAAGGTATATTATCACAGCTGATACTAATGAAATGAATCTGTCCTTAAGATACATTTTGTGGTACAGAAATACAATTCTATCCTGCATTCATACTTAGAGTTTGGTTATGGAAGAAAGCGGATCTTGCTACTGTTGGTGATTCAGAAATTTTTTCAGAGTTTTGGAAGAAAAACCTGAATACAGAAAATATTAGTCCCGTTATGTTGGTACTGTTTCTCAGTATTACCCACGGTTCTAACTCTGATAAATTTGCTCCAGTGCATTCTCTAATTACAGGCAACCCATTATTCAGTACCCAGGAATATCGCGAGAGTAGATTTGTATCTCAAAGCTATGCTTAATTTGTTTCCCAACAGGTTCTCTGACTCTGAAAACACATCATGTTCAGGATTCCAAAATGGGATTTGTGATCAACGCCATCTATTCGATGGCCTATGGGCTCCACAACATGCAGATGTCCCTCTGCCCAGGCTATGCAGGACTCTGTGATGCAATGAAGCCAATTGATGGACGGAAACTTTTGGAGTCCCTGATGAAAACCAATTTTACTGGGGTTTCTGGAGATATGATCCTATTCGACGAGAATGGAGACTCTCCAGGAAGGTATTGTTACGATTCTCCTCTAGACAGTAGAGACTGAACAACAGCCAACACTTGATCCTGAAATGTCTCTTTCTCTCCTTTGTGGTTAATCTAGGATTCCTGGTCATGTTTCCCCTTCCCTGACATCCCAAATGAGCAAAGATAGAGAGAGAAGCAGCCCCATTTCCTGTGGCCAGGAAAAAAGCATTGGTGCTGATGTTCAAAATGTGCTTTGGGAATTATCACATTTCAGACACCTAAACTAAGAGACAGGAACCTCACATGATCATAGATAAATAAAAATCATCTCTGTGGTTTCTCTGTACATGCTTGTCATGTTATTCCCTGTATTCGGCTATTTTCTTGTGCAATGGAACTATTCTGAAATAGGAACAATTTGATTTCTGGTAATCCAGAAATGGGGCTGAGGTTCTGTTCTGTTGCTTGCTGTACCTACAGCAAGTGAGTTATAAGTCATATTTTATTTTATTATTCTCCAGCTGGATCTCTTTCTTCCTTGTTAAGGACTAAATTGTTTTTTTCTCTGAAATTTTACCTTTCATTATTTATAAGAGGAACTTCAAGAACATAAACTCATAATTATAGGTCAGTCCCCAGAGAAATCACTAAGTACCAGAACTTACCAGAATTCACATTTATCTTCTACTGCAAATTCTTAAATGACTCGACACAGTCATTTAAGACTTGTAGACACTTTTAATCTATGAGGAATCATGCCATTGAAATGATATTTTGAGTTGTAGCAGGGTTGAGTCTTCACTCAGCCTTGTATCAAAACAATAGGGTCCTTTGGTCTCTCAGTGCTTTTCTAGCAATAGTTCATACTTAACAACTGTGCTTGGAAAGCTGTCTATACACTCTGTTTGTAGTTGACCCTGCCAAGAGGTTTTATAAATCCTCAACAACTTGCACCACATGTGCCCACACATTCTGTCAGCAACCTTGGTTTAGCACACTTCTATATTCTATATTCTAAGATGAGCTGGAGCTTATCCCAAATGCAGCTGTTACTATTTCACATACCAGACTTATAAGTAATAGCTAGTTTCAGGTCATACAGCCAAGTGAAAAACCTAGGTTTTTTTTTTTTCTATTCTACAGACTCGAAGAATATTCCTATAACTAGGCTGTTTGCCAAAACAAGCTGACTTTTCACGTGTTGTTTTCTACTTTTTGGCTCTTCCATATATCCATGAAGGAAAAAATACAGGCATTTTCTCAGGGCCAAACAAAACTTCACAGTTGTAAATCTTTTACGGGCAGGTTGACCAATGAGTTCAGTCTTTAGGCTCAGGTCAAGGCATGGGCCCAGATATCTGCACATGAATTTATTATTCCCATGTGCATCTCTAGAGTACTGACATCAGCTTGGGACTTGTTGATAGAATTTGATGACTGTAGCTCCACCAATTCAAGAGTTTTTATGTCAGGTACCCAAACCCATTCCACAAACCAGGAAGGGAGGAGATGCCTCAGAAGGTCCAGCTCTATTCCAAAGGGAAACCTTGATGGATCAGGCAGAACATGGCTGCCTTATTCATAATCCTTCAAATATGTTGTAAGGGGTTCTTAATCTTTATTGGAACAATCATCCCTTCAAGACTCAGACAAAATTTATAGATATTCTTCCAAGAACAACATACTTAAAATTTTGCAAACAATTTCTGGGAATTCAGGATTGCTTTGAGTTTATCCTTACACTACTAGGTTTGAGTATAACATTAACCCATTAATAAATTATCAGAGTTGGCCTCTAAGGGCATGAAGCAGACTCAGGAAAAGGTGATTTACCACCTTTTGTTTCTCGAAATAATCCATTTACATAACTAGCATATACTGAGTGTGTGTTCTGAGCCAAACGCTAAGCCAAGTGCTCTACTTTTTAATCCTATGAGGTCAGTAATGTTACCATTCTTTTTTCCAGCTAAAAAAAAAAAAAAAAAAAAAAAAAACAAATCTTACAAAAGTTCAATGACTTGCCCAAAAGTACAGTCTAGTAAATGATAGAGTCAAAATTTTAACTCAGTCTTCTGGGCTTCAACTTCTAACCTGATACAACAGCCTGCCAATTAATCAACCAGGATCAAAATTTTAAAAACACTATATTCTGAGAAAATTTATTTGTAGACATTAGTTTGTTATTTTTGTGGAGTAAAAGCATCCTGCCAGATCAAAGGTATTCCCGGCTGAGTGAGAAACCAAAGGATCCTGGGATGATTAAGGAATCCTCTAGAGTTAAAGAGTTAAAAGAGGAGGATCCTAAACAGAGGAAGCTGAAAGAGATAGCAACTCACTCTGGCACACACTTGCAGATTGTTAGATTTTCCTGGTAAAAAACCCTGTGTCATAGAAAGAAAGAGACATGCCCAAGGTTGTATAGTCAATTAAATAACAGGGCAAGGACATGCGCAAATCTCATGCACAATCATCAAGTAAAAATTTACCTTAATTTCTTTTTCTTATATTACATTTGAAATGGTTCAATGCATTAATATGTAATATAAAAGTATTCCATTATTAGGTGCCGTTCATGTTTTTGGTCTAACTAACTCTGTGATCTCTCTTTACTCTGTGATTATCCAACCCCAAAGGCACAGATCATTGTAATTGCTTTGTTGTATAGGCCAGGGCTTGGGAGTATCTATTACGCCCACCCACAGATAATTTAGCACACATTTAAGAATTACATTTTTTTTTTTTTTTTTTTAGGAAAAGCACCTTAGCATTGGAATTACAGATAGAAAGAGCCTTAGGATCCACATAAATGTAATACTCTGCAGTCTTCTCCAAATGATTTTTCACTTTTCTCTAACAACAACCCTGTTTAAGCCCCTTGAATAAACCCCTCATTATCATCTGAAGACAATCTTCTCTAATTTTCAGAGTTAGAGCCATTTAGAAAGTTCCTTATTTCTGTTCAATTGAACCCTGACTTTCTCTAGTTTACCTTAAATGCTGTAATAGAACTTTTTGTTGTTGTTACTGTAATATCTTTTGTTTATTTTGATTTTGAGCAATATATAAAATTTATTTTTAAAATTATTTAGAATATTCTAGGTTTAAATTGTGGCCAGTTAAGAAAGAGCAGACATGAGGAGGTAGAGAGTAAGGGGAAGGAAGGGACAGATATTAAATCAGATAAATTACATATACAAACACACTATGCTGAGAAAAACATTTCAGAAGCAGAGAAATATAAAAACCAAGAGGTGCAATGAGAAAGAAAGGCAGGGGAAGGGGAGGGAAGGGGAAAGGGGAGGGGGAGAGGGAGAAGGGAAGGGAGGAGGAGGAGGAAGAAGGAAGAGGAGGAGGAAGAAGGAAGAGGAGTAGGAAGAAGGAGGAAGAGGAGGAGGAAGAAGGAGGAAGAGGAGGGAGGATGAGGAGGATTGAGGAAGAAGAGAAGGAGGAGAAGATAAATGAGAGGAAGGGGATGGGAAGGAGAAAAAAGAAACTGAGCTGGAGATTCATATTAAAGTGTCTGTGATTGGAATGACACACTAATCTTTGCTTCTGACACTGAATATGTTCAAGTTGGATCTTTACTAAAGGCATCAAAAACAAAGAGCACACAGAATTTCCGTGGTTTTGGGTTTTTTTTTTTCTTTTTTTTGAGAGGGAGCCTCTCTCTGTTGCCAGGGCTGGAGTGCAGTGGCGAGATCTCGGCTCACTGCAAGCTCCCCCTCCCGGGTTTACGCCATTCTCCTGCCTCAGCCTTCCAAGCAGCTGGGACTACAGGTGCCTGCCACCACGCCTGGCTAATTTTTTGTATTTTTAGTAGAGATGGGGTTTCAAGTGTTAGGCAGGATGGTCTCGATCTCCTGACCTCGTAATTGGCCCGCCTTGGCCTCCGAAAGTGCTGGGATTACAGGTGTGAGCCACCGCACCCGGCCTACTGTTATCTTTTTGGGAAACAAAATACAGTCTTCTAGATTGAATCATGGCTAAAGATTACAGGAAGTCATTATGTCTTTTGATTCTTACCTAAAAGTTATATAAGAATATGTTTTAAACATTCACTTTATTTTCCTTTGATGGAGAATAAAAGCTATATTCTATCTCTGAAAATTAAAAGGGCTCATACAAATTCACAAGTGAAGGGGAGAATATTCTTTTGTGGAGACATATTCTCATCTATTTCTTTTTTTAATGTACTAAAAAAAGATTTTTAAAGCAATGTTCTATTTTCACAGCTTTAGCCGTGAGTGATAATATCTCTTTGTGTTTGCCTTGTATTAAGAAACAATGACCAGAAATCTAAAGGCTAATTCCAAAGGGAGGGTTCATTGTCTCAAATGTAACTATAACAAGTTTATCGAGTTGAACTGAAATTAAGGTTTAACTTTCCTGAAAACAAGTTCCCTGTCAAATGTGACATTTTCCACTCTATAGAGTTTTCATGTTTATTTTTCAAAAACTGGATCCCTTTACTTTTTACCATTTGTTGTACATAAAACAAAGAGGTGTGGATATAGAGATAAAAGCCTTACAATATAAATTGGTTCAAATTTTTACAATATTTAAGCAAGGAAAATATGGTCTCTTAGCTCTACCCAGGATTTGGAGCAGTCTAATAAGGAAGAAGGAACTGCAGATTTGAAATCTAAAGGCTTAGTTTAGGTCCTGGCTCTGACGCTTACGTACTCTGTAATCTGTACTAATTAACCTCACTGAGTTTCAGTCCTTTATCTGTAAAATTAACAGTGTGAACTAAACTTTTCAGACTTAAGAATTGCTAGAAATGGATTTGACAGCTCAGTTTTGAGTGAGGAATAACACCCACATATTTCTTCAAATTATCAGCAGCAAAGAAATAAGTCTGACACTGACATTTCTCTTTCTCCCATCCTAGAATCTTCAAAGGTTATTTGCTCATAGAAGGTCACCCTTTGAATACTCAAAGCTCATATATTTGAAGTAGCCAATGACGTAATACAAGAGTTCTTTTTACCTCAGTGCTCTGTGTTCTAATATCTCAACTCATTGCATGAACCGAGGCCATGGGATAATTGTGACCAAGAGGGAAGGAAAGTATCCTATAAATTGATAGTTTTGATTTAGAAGTAGAATTTAGACCAAATTGTTGCTGACTGACAACACTAAAGGAAAATCCTCAAGTTACTGAACAACCAACAAAACAAGAATGAGGTAATATTCTGAAGAAAAAAAACCTACAGTAAAAATTGTGATTTGGAGTGAAAACAGAATGGCATCATTTTATAACATAAGTTTCAATAGATGCCAGTTTTGTTCTGAATATTTCTGTACAGAACATTGGTTTGAGTATAGTAATCTCACCACTTGAATCCAAAAGCTAGAACATTTTCCATTCATATCAATTTCCAGATAGCTACACATGCTGAGCATAGGAGGCTGGAGGAGGCATTTATATGTCTATCTGTCAGGACTATAAGTCCTGAGGGGGTAAACAGTATAAAATACTATGTGAGCACAGTGTGTGCCTGAGACATACCTGTAGAAACTGAGATAGTGGTGATATTGCTTATCCAATATCCTCAAATTGGAAAATTTTTTCAGAGATTCTTCTCTAGAAATGAGCTTACTTATAAGAAAAGGCTTGTAAGTAAGCACATTGATTTTCTTTTTTTACATTTATATCCACATACTCAAAAAAACAATAGTTAGCAAAGGCTGAGAACTCACAAGGAACTACTCTTTTCCAGCATTTTTACATTGCATGAGGTGCTTTAGAAGCTATTTTCAAACTTTTTTAAACTTCACTCTTGAAATTATCTTTGTACAATGAATTTAGCCATTGATAATGGACAAAGTAAGAAAGGTAAAATGAGGCCCTCTGTAAATTACCTCTATATCCCCTAAAGCTGAAAATAAGATGAAAGATTTACCAAATTTCTCACTTGGTTAGTAAATGGAAATTTTATCATTTTACTTGAATACAGACAAAAACCTGTCTATCTTTTGTAGAAGTCTAACAGTAGTACTTGTTTAAACTTCTTGAAGTTATTTTGAAACTGTCTTTCATCCTGCTGGGGTCAAGTCACCTTCTCACATGGGATTACTTTCTATTTCAGGTGTAAGCTTGAAAGTACGGAAATGTTCTCTGCAAAGAAAGTGAAATGGACAGATTATTTTTGTTATTCTAAGTGTACTGTCATGGAAAATTCCAGTGTTACTTATATGACAGTAGACACATTTTTGGGAATAAAATATATTGCCTTTTCAAAGCTGAATATTTACGTCTTAAGCTGCATAATTATCATATTCTTATTCCTAAGGTATGAAATAATGAATTTCAAGGAAATGGGAAAAGATTATTTTGATTATATCAACGTTGGAAGTTGGGACAATGGAGAATTAAAAATGGATGATGATGAAGTATGGTCCAAGAAAAGCAACATCATCAGATCTGTGTGCAGTGAACCATGTGAGAAAGGCCAGATCAAGGTAAAATGGAATCTATGTTTCTTTCATTTTTGTTGTAAATTCAACAGTGTTAATTATCATTAGCTATTTTTTAAAATTTTAGACACTTATTTTACTTTTTATATTGTAAGCTTCTAATGTCAGAAATTCTCACTCATTCCTTATGAAATCCCATGTGCAACTCATAATAGTCTTAGTAGTTGGTTTGATTAAACCAGTTGATGAATCATGTTTGCCCACACCCTTTCTGCTCATACAAGCCTTTCAAGACATGACTTCCTGGAAATAAAGTTTACAGTTAGAAAAGACACTAATTCGAATTTATTTAATAAATATTCATCAAATGTTTATTAATATAATAGTTAATATTGATGAGGCAAAAATAAATGAGACACCCTTAATTGTCAGAAGATTTACAGTCTGTGTGAGAAAAATATGGACACAGATAAGCAACATTATGTAAAATGTGATGACTTCATTAAGAAAGAAAAGAAGAAGGCTATATCAGTTTGTACAAAAGGGATAGAGATATTTCTTCTGAATAAAATGTCAAACTTTGGACCATAAAAATGAGTATGATTTCAGGGAGAGAACACTTACAAAGAAAGAACAGTAAAAGAAAAGGGACAAAAGTGGTAACTGAAGACTGTCTAGCACAAGTAAATAATCTAGAGTGCATTGCTCTAAATGGTTATTATAAAAGAGAAAGTTGAAATAAGTTGAACCCAGATTTGTGGAGAGTTTTGAACATCATACTAAATACATTGAACTTAATTTTTATTAAACAGGAGTCAGAATAATTTTGATCAAGATGTTGGCATAAGTTGAGCTGTGGTAAGGAAAATGAATAAATAGATTTATAAAACAAGAAAGAAGAGACAAGTTAGAAGCATGCTGTGATAGTGGTAACAAGGCCTTGAATTGGGGAAGAAACAGTGAAAATGAAAAGGGGCCGGAAGACATATTTGGAGAAAACATTACAGATGTAGATTCAATCAGGCTGACTACCAATTTGATGTTGAGTTGTGGAAGATAAAGAAGTCAACACAATCAACTGCAATTCTAAGTGTCAGTAAATAAAAGGTGGCATTGCCAGGAATAGAAAAATAGGGGTAGCTTTATAGAAAAGGTGATTGGTTAGTTTGGGGGCATGTTGGTTTTGATATAGCCATCCAGTGATTAAAAGTTTGGTCTAGAGCAATGAAAAATAAGGCTAAGCATACAGATTTAGGAATTGATTGAATAGAGTTAAAGTTGAAGCTATTACAATAGACAAAATTGCAGAACCTAAAAGTGTAAATAAAAAATAAATATGGACCAAGAATATACCTTAGAGAATTTCTGCTTTCAAAGTGTAAAAAAGGAAGAAGAGGTAGAGGCTGAGAAGCAACAGGTACAAAGAGAGAGACGACCAGAGAGCACACTGTCACATAAGATGGTAGTCAGCAGAAGAAAAAGGTCAAAGAAGAGGAACAATGAGGAAAAGACATGAAAATTGAGGGTTCACCCTTCATCTGGGCCTGCTAGATTGAATAGAATGTAATGATAATTGAGTATCAAGATAAATGGATAAAGAAAATATAATATATCTACATAATAGAATACTATTCAATCATAAAGAATGAAATCCTGTCATTCACAGCAATGTAGAAGGAACTGGAGAACAGAATGTTAAGTGAAATAAGCCAGGGACAGAAAATTAAACGTCACGTGTTCTCACTTATATGTGCAAGATAAAAAAAGTTGATCTCACAGAAGTAAAAATTAGAACAGAGCGTACTAGAGGGTAGGAAGGGAAGGAGGAAGAGAGGGATAGGGAGAGCTTTGTTAAAAGAAGCAAAATCACAGCTAGATAGGAGGAATAAATTCTAGTGTTCTTTAGCACTGTAGGATGAATATAGTTAAAAGTATTCTATAGTTTCAAATAGCTAGAAGGAGGATACTGAACATTCCTAACATGAAGAAGTAATAAATATCTGAGATGATGACTATGCTAATTACCCTGAACTGGTCACTCTACATTATGTGTATCAAAACATCACTATGTAACCCATAAATATGTACAATTATTGTGTGTCAACTGAAAAAATAAAAAGTATAAGAAAAAGAAATATGTGACAAAAAGCATGTAAGAGATAATTTGGTAATTTGAGGACATTAAAAAATTACTCTTAGGCTAAAAAAGATGTGGCCACACTTACAGGAATTAAAAATTCATGAAGAGAAGACAAAGATATAATAACAAGGGGGTAAGAGCAGCTATTGGTGCACAATGCTGTCGGGAAAAATGATATCAAAATAATTTATTTGCTCATCAAACAGTTCTTAAAGTACTACCATACCACATTTCAGGTAGTGTATTCCTAGAGCCACTGGACTTGGTCTTTTCAATCAACCTTATCTTCACTCTGTTTAGAAGACATTTCATATGTTTTTTCATCTGTGATTAAGACTGAAACTGAAATATTTTAATATTGATAGTAAGGCCCTCAAAGGGTAGGTCTGAAGATTTGGAAAGCATAAGACCAGAAAGAAGAAAGATAAGGTAAAAGAAGATAAAAATAAATGTATTAATATCTGCTAAATGGCTCAAAATATTAGATAGCTGACATTTTCTGTATGTCTTGTTATGGTATACAGCAAGAGCTGGTAAACTATAGCCCACAGACTAAATCTGACCTACTATCTGTTTTTGTAAATAAAGTTTTATTAAAATACAGCCAAGCTTATTTGTTTATATATTGTCCATGGCTACTTTCTGCTATAGTGGCAGAGTTGGATAGCTGAGTTGCTGACTTGCAATAGAGATTGTATGGCCCAAAGCCTAAATATTTACTATTTGATCCTTTGTAAAAAAATGTTTGCTAACGCTTGTTACATCAAGACAAAAGAGATTTTCATCTTGGCCAATTATCTTGCAGTTAAACTCTTCATTATGAGGGGTTTAAATTCATGTAGAATTATTTGTGTATCCACCAAGAATATCAATATTCATAATTTCCAGTGCTTCCTGTAGAAAAATTACACAGTGTAAATTACCATATATTTTTTCTTTATTTTTGACCCTTCACAGCAATACATTTTGAAAATATAACTTCCAGGGCCAGGCATGGAGGTTCACACCTGTAATCCCAGCACTTTGGGAGGCCGAGGCGGGCAGATCACGAGGTCAGGAGATCGAGACCATCCTGGCTAACACGGTGAAACCCCGTTTCTACTAAAAATACAAAAAAATTAGCCGGGTGTGGTGGCAGGCACCTGTAGTCCCAGCTATTCAGGAGGCTGAGGCAGGAGAATGGCGTGAACCCTGGAGGCACGAGATAACACCACTGCACTCCAACCTGGGTGACAGAGTAAGACTCCATCTCCAAAACAAACAAACAAACAAACAAACAAAAAGAACTTCTAAATGCTGAATGACTAATTTGAGAGATTTCTTTATATATACTTTTCTACCCTATTCTACAGGGAATAATTTACATAACTAGAAGAATTTTATTCCCTATTATCGTGTGTGTATACATATATATGTGTATACACACACACACATACATACACACACATATATATATATGTGTGTGTATATATATATTTTAGACAGAGTCTCACTCTGTCTCCAGGCTGGAGTGCAGTGGCACAATCTTGGCTCACTGCAACCTCCGCCTCCCAGGTTCAAGTGATTCTCCTGCCTCAGCCTCCAGAATAGCTGGGATTACAGGTGTCTGCCACCACACCCGGCTAATGTTTTTGTATTTTTATTAGAGGCGGGGTTTCACCATGTTGGTCAGGATGGTCTCGATCTCCTGACCTCATGATTCGCCCACCTCGGCTTTCCAAAGTACTGGGATTACAGGCATGAGCCACCGTGCCCGGTCTATTATCATATTTTTAATACTGGTTATTTTGTAACAATATTTGCTTCGACCTTTTTTAAAAATCCCAAACTTCATTTTCCTAACCAGATGTCATTTTTACTCTATTAAATATACAATGCATAAGATTTTCTTAATATGGTTTAAGGTTGTAACTGAGCAATTTAATTCATGATATCAACATCTCATGGCATTGTTCACAGTTTGTAAACTTAGTTTCCATGAAAGGGTTTAGTCTAGTAAAGGTTCAGATATGTTATATATTGTTATTCATAAAGAAAGCACTGCTGACTGGGTGCAGTGGCTCATGAGTATAATCTCAACAATTTGGGAGGCTGAGATGGAAGAATCCCTTGAGCTCAGGAGTTCAAGATCAGCCTAGGCAACTTAGTGAGACCCTATCTCTTCAAAAAAATAGGAAACAAAAATAATTGAGCCTGGTGGCACATATCTGTAGTCCCAGCTACTCAGGAAGCTGAGGTGGGAGGCTCTCTTGGGCAGGGGAGGTCAAGGCTGCAGTGAGCCAAGATGGCGCCACTGCACTCCCAGCCTAGGTAACAATGCAAGACTGCCTCAAAAAATAAAATAAATAAAAAAGAAAGCACCACTGCTTCCAGGATGTTGAAAGAGAATTTTCACCACCTCGTGTTCAAAATAAATGTGAAACAGAACATAAAATGTGAAAACATAAAACAAGTTCTAAATGATCAGAGGAAAACATATTAAGTTATCACTATTGATTCAAAAAGAGATTATAATATTGGAATTCTTCTTGGAAAAAGGCATGAACTTATTTTAATTTCAGGTGTTTACCTGAAATTCACAAACCGATGAAAACTGAACCATAAGAAATCAAAGTATTTCAGTGGGGGGAAATGCAGCCGCTTTTATTTGCTAATACCTGCTAAGGTCTGCTAAGGTCTGAAAGACACTCCTTCAGCTTTGCAATATGCCTGTTTGCATTACAAAATCTAATAATTGTTCAAGGATAGTTTTGCCAAGTGTGGTATACCTTGAAAATGAAATTCTTCATTTCTATATATGGACATTTATGTGCAAATTATTAATGAAATGGGTAACATTATTAGAGTGTTCTACACTTTACAAATCACTGTGTTGTTTTATTTAATCCTAAGGAAATCCTATAAGGTAGATATTATTATCGTAAAAGCAATAGGTCCAGTTAAAAGAAACTGAGCATTGGCTGGAGAACTCTGGTGCTACTTGATTCCCAAGCCAGTACTCTTTCCCCTGCATCTTTCAAAATATCACACAGTCTAATCTTCCAATAAGACTCAGTATTTATAAGCATGAGCATTTGAAGTTCAACATACATTGGTTGATCCCTCATTTACCCTAACATGCTATGTGAGCTAACTCAACTTCAGTTTTCTCCCTAAGAAAATGAAAAAAATAAACCAGCCACTTCATACAGTGCTGTTCTAATGCTTTAATGGGATAACAGTATGGGACAAGTACTAAAGAGCCTGGAAATAGTTGATATTATTATGAAGAATACTTTAATCAGGTCTAAGGAGCAATTTTGCCTCACTTATTTACTTACTTTAGGGAAAATCTATTTTAGGCCCTTTTGCCATTATTCCCTGCTTGTATTGTTGTAGTTTTAAGAGTCAGTAGAAGAAATACTACAAAAATGTAAAAAACAGTTGTCAGCTTACAATTATATTTGGTATCTAGCTGATGTTATTATCAAAGGTCATTACTAGAGTCAGCATCTCAGACTAGAAATATAAAGTGTAATTATTACTGTGTCTGGTCATTGCTGAATATTAACCACGGTTTTAATGATTTAAAAGAACATTTAATGAATGCTGTCTATTCCAGAGAGGTTTTTCATGCACCAATGGTGGGGAAGAAAAGGTACATCTATTTCAAAAGAATAACATCTGTGACTCTTTCAGCTGTTAAATTATTTCAATTATTTTCCATTACCTTAAAAAAGTCAAATAGATTAAGAGGTATATAATAGTCTGAATGACCTCATCTACCTTCAAACAAATCAAAGCTACCAAAATAGGAAAGAATGGGCTGAATTGTTGAATCAGACTTTTAGTAGAAAGAGATCAAGAGATCATCTCCAGGAAAATCTTAATCTTTTGCTTTCTTCTACCCAATACAAATTCCTAATTATATTTATCAATATGGATAGACTTTAGAAGATTAGGAAATATACAATGTTTTTTGCTCACAATTATTCAACTAATGGGGGGAAGGAAGCTAAGGTAAATCCAGAAAGCAGAAGTTCTTAGCTTGAGGAAAGGAGAAGTAGAGCAGATCCTGGGGTGAATTCAGTTATGTGTATGTACATATGAGCACAAGCACAGGTACTTAATTAAATACAGGTTTCCAAGGCTAATTATCCAAAGACTTGCATTTAATTTAATGCCTTATCCTGCTACCAGCTAACTTTGTGATGTTGGACTTGTTTAAACTCAGCCTTACTTTCTTTAATTATAAATTAAGAATATTAAAAATTACACTGCTTATCTGATAACATTTAAAATAATGTATGCGAAAGGCCTTTCTGCTTTGCAAAACAGCACATTGGAATATAGAATTGTTGGATTTTTATCTATGCAAAAAAATATCTAAATTTCAAATATTTGCCTTAGGTGATCCGAAAGGGAGAAGTCAGCTGTTGTTGGACCTGTACACCTTGTAAGGAGAATGAGTATGTCTTTGATGAGTATACATGCAAGGCATGCCAGCTGGGGTCTTGGCCCACTGACGATCTCACAGGTAATCTGTCACAATCTCACCACATATACATAAACTGAAAAAAGATGCAGACGTGGGAGAGGGGGGTCACATCCCCAGGTATTACTCATCTTGGGTAGTCTTATTTATGGAACAAATAATTTCCTTGGGAACATAAGCTTCCCAAAGTTTGAGCTACTTTTTAAAATCCTCAAATCTCTGGGAGAGATGTGCCTATACGTCCGTCTTCACTCCAAAATTAGATCAGAATTCCTAGCTTGTCTACTGGGCATTCTTCCCTCATCCCCAGGACATTCCCATAAGTTCCTAAATAGGGTCCCAATTATATGTGTATTTTAGGTGAAGAGAAAGAAGTTTTAGCCAGGAAGTGATGAAAATATGTCATGACATATCCAAGAACAAAAAGGTAGCACTGAATTGGGCAGAATGTCATCTAAAGTTCTTTTCTTCTCTTAATTGTTTTTATTAATTGAAATCAGGAGTCTCCAACTAATAAGTTTTCAAGTATTGTTGGTACAGGGCAAGACTTGATTTTACTTGTTTATTGTTTTACTTTTTTGTTTTATTTTGGCTTTTGGTTCCTTCTGCCAACAGATGTTAAAGACTATGTCATCGTGTACTCCAGTCTATATTTCATAGTCTTTTCTAATTTTTATAATATATAAACAGAATATGATTCCTTTCATACTGTCTTCCAATTTTTCTTCAATAAACATTTATTAAATGCACTCATGCTTATTTGCCTACCACTAAAATAAAAATATAGAAATAAAAATACTACCTCTGTCTTAATGAAGTTCACAGATTAATAAAGGAGGCAAAAAATTAAAAATATGATTACAATATAATAAGAGGACATAGATTTATAGACATGGGAGCATGAGGAGGGCACCCATAAACTGAGTATGCAAGAAAAAGAGCAAAAAAGCCTTGCAGGCAGAGAGCCCCCCATGTGGTATGTCAGGTTGTCTTGTGGTTTTAGAATTCAGATGGATTTAGCACAAAACTTCTAGAGGCTAGAAGATCATAAGGTCATCAGTGTTAGACTCCATCCCTCCCAGGACAAATGATTTTATTCATAGTAGTTGTATTCACTTATTTCAAAAGTCTGGTTATTAAAAATTCCATCATCCTGGGTCTTACAAGACAGCTCACCATTTTTTGGTGATTGGTATATATACAGAAGACTTTTTCTTTTCTCAAAAAAAAAAAAAAATCCGATTTAATAAAACATCCAAGTGCCTTTTGATCGCTTTTGAATCTTCTTTTTGCCATTACACTATGAGCTTTCTGATGTTCTTATTCATCCTGTTTTCCCCAGAGCTGACTCAGTGCTAAACACAAAGCCTTCAATAAATTTTGTTGAATAGATGATCTATCGTGTGCCTGTGTGCAAACACACAGTAAAAATGCCAAAAAGAAAAAAAAAAAAAAAATCTGTGATTGGTTTTCTTGAAGAAGGGTGAGGAGCAATATTCCTATCTTTTCTTTATACTATTTATTTACATGTTTTTCTACTTTTAAACTAGATTATGGTGAAAATGAAAAACTGTCTTGCAACGTCAACTAATTTGCATGGCTAAGCACCTTATAAATGAATATGTAGATGTAACTTTTTGTCTCATGTTCTGTAAGACTATGATATTGAGAATGAACACAGTCTGTTCTTTCATTATTTCAGCAGATAAATATTTTATTATTACTGTTTTCATTATAATAATAGATACTTGAGAAATTGAGGTAAAAAAACAGCAATGCTTCCTGTGTCACTTGTTCCCTGTATTCTAGTCCTTAAACATCTTACCATCTTGTGGGGAAAGAGACATAAAACAACACATGCACGTGGCTAGTCAGCTCTTTGTTTGCTAGTGGGCTATTTGTGTGCTTCATTGACTAATTGTATATGAAGTCAAAGAACAGGAATAAAAACATGGAAATATCAGAGAGGTCATCATTTACATTTGTGGTCATAGAATTTCTCTCTGAAGAAGTAAAAATTAACTGAGACCTAAATGATAAATATAAATATTTAGCAAATAATAACTAAGAAGAGATTAAGTCTGGGGTAACAGCACATGTGAATGTCTGTATATGAGTAAACAGGTAGGAGAACAGTGTCAGAAGAGGTCAAAAAAGTAGCAGGGGCAAGAACCTATGCAGCCTAGGAGAACATGTTCAGGGTTGGAGTGTTTTATTATTAAGACAATGAGACATCACTGCAGGAATTTTAGTATAAGAAAAAATACATTATTATAAATATATTTTAAAAATATTATTCTGGTTACTGTTACCAAGAATAATTTGGGAAGGGTTAGAAAGTGGAAACAGGAAGACAAGTTGGGTAGTTGCAGACAAGAATTCTTAATGTCTAAATAGTGCATTGGAAGATTTGAGATATGCTTTTGGGTAAAATCAACAAGACATACAGATTAATTGGATGCTGAAGGTGTTAAGGAAGTTGCCAAATTTTCTTTTTTGAAGGCTAAAAAAATAGATTATTTCATAAAGATCAAAACTTTAGTTACAGAAAATATCAGACATGTCTTTGAGATTTTCAAGTGCTAATGATTAATTTAACAAATTTAGGCCTTAGCTTGTGCCAGAAAATGTAATTTGGATTGGGAATACAAAGATTTAGTCTAAGTTCCTAAGAAATTTATAATCTTGCAAAAGAAAAGCATGTAACCAGGTAATAACAGTGTTCTTGGTGCTATAGGTGAGGAGTAAACAAAGTATTTTGGAAGGGCGGGGGTGCCAAACTAACCCTGGAGAATCTGGGAAAGTTTAATCTTGAAACATGAGTTGAAGCTCACTTTACAAAAAAAAAAAAAAGTGAAGAAGATACACTGTGTGTTATCTCAAAAATGTCCTTCTACAGTGTAAAGACAAATCCAAATCCTTGCATTGTTAATTCCATCTCATCCCTCTTTCCAATCAACTATCTTGAGTAATAAATCTTTCTTTTATCTTCCTCACTCTTGATTTATCAAAGCAATTTGCCTCCTACCCTTACCATGCTATCATAAATATTTCAGCTGAAGATGTCTGCAGTCACCACATGGCCAAACTAATAGTCCCTTGTCAGTCCTTATTTTACAAACATTTCTGTTCAATTTAATGGGCTTGATGCTGCACAGTCTTCTGAAGTTTTCTCCTCTGCCAGCCATATAATAACACAAGTTCCTCTTACCTACCTAAACACCACTTCTGGGTGTTTTTGTTTTTGTTGCTGTTGCCTCTTCCACTTAATCTAGATAATAAAATATTGAAGTTTCCCAGGGTTTCGTCACTAGCTTATTGTGTTTTCCCCCTACACAGTCTCTCCAAATAATGTCATCTACTTTGATGGTTTTAATTATTACCTGCATGCTGTCAATTCCCAGTAGTACAGCTCACCCTGTATTCTTTTCCTGAGTTTGAGGATCATGAATCTAACTGCTCACTGGATTAGTCCTCACTAACATGGTTAATCCTCACTTATTTCAGTTCAATGTATCCAAACCCTATCATTTCACCATTGTGCCCCTTTACTAATTAACTGTAAACTTGCTTTTCTATTCCCTGGGTGGATATGGCCACCCATATCCAGTCACTTATCTACCCTAATGGTTTGAATTGCTAAATATTCCTAACCACCTTTCCTCCTCTCCTAGTACAACTCTTCACTCAACTAGGTTCTCATCATCTCATATTTAAATATTGCAGTAACTTTCCAATTTATTTCCTTGTCCCTAGATTTATGCCACATGCCTCTTAATCCACTTTTGGTCTTGCTATTTTTTTTCAGGGAGAATTCTGATCTTTTTTTAATGGCAGGAATTGCACAGTTTATTATTTTGAGACAATTGTTGCAGACATATTTAAAATTTTCTAAGCAAGGTGCTTTTAACAACAAAAATTTTTAAAGTTGGAAAGAGCCAATAACTTGGATCATAGCTGACACAGAATTCCCAATTAAAGTGGATTCCATTATCTCCCTAGATTTTGCAAACAATGCTTTGTCTAACACTTCTTTAAAACAGCAAAGGAGACAGCAAGCTGAAATTTTTTCCAAGCACACAGGAAATGGTGTCATCACACTACTTGAAGAAGGTGCTGAAGGGAGAAGATGATCTTGCTATTGAATATTGTATCCAAAATACAGATCTGCCTTTTTTTTTTCCTCGCTGGTGTAGGAGAAAGTAATTATCTTTTCTTCCCAGCCTAGGTTTATGGATGAAGTCCTTGGAACAAGACACAAACTAACAAGAGAAAAGCACATACATTTATTTAATATAAGTTTTACATAGGGAAAGGAAAACAAAGAAACAGGAAAACTTGTGTATTTTTATGCTAGGTTTGATAGAGAAGTGGTAAGTCATTGGGGAGTATGATTGGATTATAAAAGCATGATCTAATGATAGTTAGCTGGGGAGAACTCAACTATTCCTGTTTGTTCAGATTGCTGTCAGTGACCTTGCATTTTTAGAGATATACAGATGTTCAGTTCCTCTGGGTACAGAGAGAGCACCTGTCAAATGAGAGCTTTATGACCTGCTTCAGGAGAGAATGTTGCCGGGAAGGTGAGAGTTACCTTCCTGCTTCTGCTGTTTTCTCAAATGCCAAGGTGCCATACTTTGGGGTAGTATGTCCTGAATCCCATCACTCAAAACTTACCACTGGTTTTATAACTCTATATGGTATATTCCAAGCTTTCAACATGACATACAAAATGTCCTCTCTTTCCCAGCCTCCTATGATCTTTCTAGTTTCAATCACCACTGCTTTCCATCTTTCATTTTATATTCTGTTGTCAAAGACTGCTCATAATTCTCATCCGCAGAGAATGCTATTTTATTCCTCCCTATCTGTATATATATATATAGTCTTCTCTACCTGGAATATGCTTACCCCTCTTTCTTTACTCGAGTAACTCCCACTTACCCTCCCTTACTCTGCTCAGGTGTTATTTTCTCTATGAAGCCTTTGATATACGTAGACTGCTAAGTTTCCTAACAAATTCTGCTTCCCCCTTTAAATCA